ATGCGACGAAGGACGGCAAGGAGCCATTGCTGAGAGAACGAAGGGAACGCCTGACCGAAGTCAAAGCAGAGGAGAGAGGGGAGAAGAGAGGGCGGGTCACCAGTCATACTGGCATGACGGGCAACGGCGTCGAGTTCGACAATGTTATCGCCAAAGTTTCGTCGAGGGACGAAGCCCCGCTGGGCGCCGTCAAGACCCGGAGGGGGAGCAGCCGTCAATGGGCGGACCGAAATCGCCGTGATGATTTTATTGTCGCAGTTCTTTAACCCCAGGGGTCTGGTCTCCGCAGGCCGCCTCGCCCCAGGGAAATCACCAGGAGGGTCGGCCCCCTTGGGGGTGAAAACTCCCCGCGACATATTATATCCAAAAATGAGATTGCCCCGCGTGGAGCCATCTCATCGAATTCAAAAGCACTTCATCTCCTAGAGGGGCGTTCTTCCACGCGCAATAGGGAATGCGGTCGGGCCCAGGGGCGCATTCGCACTGGTGTTCCAGGAATTTCCGAAGCTGGGACAACGTGGGAGGGGGGATGTCTTGACAATTGAGGTCAGGAGGAAATCTGTCCAGGAATTGTTCAGCCGCCTCATGGAGGTACTCCTTAGCTTCGAACGCCGGCGCCCAGTGCTGCGAGAGCGATCGCATGATCGCGGCGGGAGACTGCTCGACCGCGCCAGAGTCTAACCTCACACCGGCCAAAATCACGCGCCGATCGAACGGGGACCAAAGACGGGCGAGCCGCGCAACTCGGCGAGCACGGCCCACAACACGCGCGACCGCCGACGGGTCGCGGAGCCGCTGAGCACTAGCCTGCAGGGAGCGTTGGGTCGACTCGGCGAGGGAGAAGTGGAGCGAGTTGGAGAGGGTCGTGAAGGCCTGAGGGTTGGAGAAGGAGACGAGGTGGGTGTCGTAGTTGAGGTTCAAGTGCTCCCTGCAGAGCTCGTGCGAGCGGAAAAGCCTGCGCGCCAGCGACCAATCTTGCCTGAACGCTGCTCTCGCCATGCTCCTGGCCATGAGATACCTTGCAGTGTGGGTCTGAGGTCGTTTGGGGATAATCAAATCCCGAGCGTGCCGACTCGCTTCTAACATGAGGAATTTAAAATAATCATGGGCCATCGGCGGCGAGAGCTCATCCAGGGGGCGAGCCGCGAGCGCCTTCTTCAGAAAGCTCCGAAACTCACGAGACTCAAAGATGGTCCTCGGAATCGGACGCTCGGCCACATGAGTGGGGGGGGCGCGCGCAAATGCAGATTTCCACAGGGGCGTGATCCGACAGGCCCTGGGCATCCAAAACTTCGGGGCGCCCCCTAACGGCACCTCCAGAGGCAAATTGCGAGGGGATCCAGGCAGGCAACGAGGGGAAGGCCCTATCAATAAATCCGAGGGTATTTTGGGCAGCAGAAGTGGGTTGGGGAGAGGAGTTCAAATTCAACAGCCGTGGCCAGGGCACCCCTCCACGCAGGGGGGGGGGGGGGGTCGATAGGGGGGGGGGTCGGTCAAATCATCAGGGGAGATGGTGTTAGGGACCTGGGGGTCATGAGGCAGAGGGGTATGAGAAGGGGGATTCAAGTCCCCAGCAATGAGAACAAGTTTATTGAGAGGGTCAGCCTGAGCGAGGGAAAGCTCGCCCTTGATCCAGCCGAGGAGGAGCGCCTGCTCAGTCTGGGGCAGCCCGTGGTTGTGGATGTTAAAGGGGCTCACACCACAGCGCCCATTTACTGCCGAGATACTCGTGAGAAGAGCCCTTCCAGGAACGATCGGAGTCGAGGAGAGGAGAGGGAGCCGGCCACCAGTGAGGGCTTCCCTAGCAGCAGAGGGCAAACATTTGGGGAAGAGGGTGATCGCGCCTCCTGTACGGAAGTTGGGGTGGAAGGAGGAGCAGGCGTGGAAAGGGAGGTGAAGGGAGTGGAGAAGGTCCTTAACGTCACAATGGGCCCCGTGCGTTTCTTGAAGGGCAACTATCGAACCCGTCTCTAGTAGACGGCGTAAAAACTTGATTTTACGAAGTCTGAGCGAGTCGTCGTGATGAAACAATGCCCTCGCATTCCACGTCACGACCCGCAAGCGAAAGAGCGGCGCCCCTTCGCGCCTCACAGCACCGTGCCACAGGGCACTCAGAACGTTAAACGCACCGCACAGTTGTCGGCGCTGATCCCACATCAGCAACGACTCGATCGCGGACCATCTGGACGTCCATCTGCTCGTAGCGCAGGTTGTCCTCGGCCCGCTCGAGCGAAGGGAACTTCTGGCCTTCCTTGGGGGCGACGCGAGCCAGCGGTTTCCACTCCGCCAGCACCTCGCCACGGAACTTGTCAACGAAATATCTCTTTGCTGGATAAAGCTGCTGAAGGGCTGCGCGCGCCTTCTTGCACCCGAGCTCGCGCTTGATCTGGCACACGTTCTTGTCGGGGCCCACGTGCAGTGCTGTGCGACCACCTGCCACAACCGTCGCTGAGAACGATCTCCACGTCGCAGGCTGACCGTTGGCACCAGGCGTGCGGAGGGCGCCGATGACCTGGCCCACCTTTCGCGCCGCCAGGTGCGGGTTGCCTTTGAACCTGAGCGTGAACTTGGTCCCAGTGGGCGTCTGCTCATCAAAGGCCCAGTCCGAGGGATCAATATTGCAATCTGAAAGCCACGATTCCAATCCGACCGCCACTGCAGTTTTAGCCACCAGCGACTGCGCACGGATGACCACGATGGCGGTGTCCACCTCTCTGTTGAAGGTGCTGATGCCATCTGGGAGGAACTTCGGCGGTTGCTCATTCTGAACCATGTGCAGCTCACGTTGGATGGCCTTGATCTTTTCATCCATCTCATCAATCTTCCGATTCTGTTGCCGTACGCTAGTTTCAACACCGTGCATGCGGCCTTCCATCTGCTGGCTGAGAGACTTGTAGGATGAGGTAACATTCTTAGTGAGGGTCGAGAGCGCACCCTTGGCACTGGTTTGGGCATCTTGGATGGACTTGAGAAGATCTGCGTGCAGGCCTGAGACATGTCCACGAAGGTCGTTGAGGGCTGCATCATCGTACTCCTTTGGCTCATGAACTTCGCTCTCATCCATAGGGGCGGGCCCCTCAGCCGCACGAGGGGTAGCAGTACCACCTGTGGGAGTATCAGGGACCGCACTACGTCGGGCATCAGGGGGGCTTCGCGTTCTTGCATCGCGTGGGCTGTCCGAACCAGCAGCATGACCAGCAGCAGCGGCACGAGCACGACCAGGCGAACCCACCTTGGTCTGTGATGGGAAGGTTGGGGCGTCCTCCATTTCCTTGCAGAGACGGCGACGCTCCTCCTCCGACATGGCCTCGAAGTCATGGCTGCCCATCGCGGTCTAGCGGTGTCGAATGTGCGAGAAAAGAAAGAGGTGGGAAGACCTCCGCCGTATGCAGACAGGCAGAATATGCTTGAACAGAAATCCCCCACCCTGGGCAGGGCCTCTGCTCGGGGGAAGACAATGGGTCACCCTGGACCAACCTCGGGACATGTTTTACTTGAGCCAAAATGGCTACGGACCTCCTCCTCCTCCTCCTCCTCCTCCTCCCCTCCTCCTCTCCTCCTCTCCTCTCCTCCTCTCCTCCTCTCCTCCTCTTCTCCCTCCTGCTGCTGCTCCTCCTCTCCTCCTCCTCCTCTCCTCCTCTCTCCTCTATCTCCCTCTCTCCTCCTCCTCCTCCTCTCCCTCCTCTCCTCCTCTCCTCGTCCCTCCTCTCTCCTCGTCTCCTCGTCTCCTCTCCTCGTCTCCTCGTCTCCTCGTCTCCTCTCCTCGTCTCCCTCGTCCTCCTCCTCTCTCCCTCTCTCTCCTCCTCCTCTTCCTCTCCTCCTCTCTCCTCTCCTCCTCCCTCCTCCTCCTCCTCTCCTCCTCTCCTCCTCTCCTCCTCGTCCTCCTCTCTCCCTCCTCCTCCTCTCCTCCTCTCCTCCTCTCCTCCTCCTCATCCCTTCCTCCTCCTCCTCCCTCCCTCCTCCTCCTCCTCCTCCTCCCTCCTCCCTCCTCCCTCCTCCTCTCCTCCTCTCCTCCCTCCTCCCTCCTCCCTCCTCGGGGGGGCTCCTCGGGTAGGAGGGGTGGCAAGGGTTCACGCCGTCGCCCCGCGGGCCGTTGTAAAATTCCATTGCGCTCGCGGAGCATTGGACGTCTCCTCCGCATTCTCCACCCCCGCGCCTTCTCATTCTCCGCCTCATCCCTGAGCTGGCAGAGCACTTGTCCTGGCTCCTTCTCCTCCTCATCCTTTTCGCTCCTCGAACTCCTCCTGCCACCTCCTCCTCTTTCGCCCGGTCCAGCTAAGCGTCCATCCTGGTTCCTCCTCCTCCGAGTCTTCGCCGTCCGCGAACCAGCGCGAGTCCAGCCACCCGTCGGGGCCTTCTTGCGGGGAGCGACAGGGTGGGGGGAGGGGCGAGAAAGTCGTCGTCGCCGTCGCCGCCGCCGCCGTCGTCGTCGTCCTCGTTTTGGTTGTCGTCCGCAGCGTTTTTGTTATCGTCGTCGTCGCCGCCGCCGCCGCCGTCGTCGTCGTCGTCGTAGCCGACGTTTTCCATATCATGTTGTCGTTGACGTGGGAGGAAGGAGGAGGAGGAAGAGGAGGAGGAGGAGGAGGAGGAGGTAAGATACTATTACAAGATAGACCAACGACGAAATCATGAATCAACACAATACCTGTATCTCCTGACCTTCGCGGCGAACGCGAGCACACGATAGCGCACCACGAGCGCATGGCAGGAGTTGAAGACGAGGAAAACTCAACCGCACTGGGCACGACGAGGGACACGACGATGAACGCGCAACTACAGCCTGTTCAGCGATCTCTGCCGCTTGCACTGCGCGTCAGTTGGTGGCGATATGCCTGGGGGCGGCCCTCCTGGGAGCAGCCGCCTCTGGGGCAAAAGAGGTCGCGGTCGTGGAAGAAGCCGCCGACCCCGCAGCAGCTCCTCGTGCTCCCCCGCCGCGCGCGTTACCAAAACGGCCGCCCTGCACGCCCCGCAGCGCCTCCTGCGCGGCCGCCGCCTTCTCCTCACGCTCGGTGTTGTAACGTTCCGCTGCACGCGGCGCTGGCCGTGGTGGCCTCCGCCTGGCTCGCTGCGAAGGTCGCGATCTCCGCACGGAAGGCGCGGACCATGTCCACGATGCTGGTCTCGCCCTCCTGCGCGTCCGCCGCCGCCGCGCCCGCCGCTGCCGCCGTGGCCAGATGCGGGTGGGTCAGTGCCAGGGCGATGCCCTTTTGGCTCCACCCATCTCCCCTGGCCTCAGCATCTCCATGCTGGGAGAGAGGTGCATCCCGCTCTTCGTCTCCACCACCATCGTGTGGCGGAACGCCCGCGGGCCCGCCAGCGAGCGCCTCTCGGAGCGCCTTGCCGCGGAAGGTGAGCTGCTGGCCACGGTGGCCCGCAATCTTGTCGAAGGCCTTCAACAAGTGAAGCGCCACTCGGCATTGCGCCCGCGCTTGCTGCGCGCGGCGCTGGGCGGCCGTCCGATTCGGCCGGCGGGCACTTCGACGCCAAGGCTCCAAATCCGTCGCGGCCCTGAGGGAGCGGGACGAGGGGTGGCGAGGGAGAGGGCAGGGCGGCCGCGGGGGCCGCAGGCGGCGCGCGAGCGCCGATGGCACGGGATCGGCAGTCCAAATCGGGCCGAGCTGGCAGCTGGAGGAGGAGGAGGAAGAGGAGCAGGAGGAGGAGGACGAGGAGGAGGAGGACAGGAGGAGGAGGAGGAAGAGGAGCAGGAGGAGGAGGATGAGGAGGAGGAGGACAGGGGGAGGAGGGGGAGGAGGAGGAGGAGGAGGAGGATGGATGGATGGATGGACTCGGCATTGCGCTGTGCGTCTGAAGACGCTCACCCCTCGAGCTCACGAGACGGGAGATCGCTCGGGGACACCTCTGAGCAGTCGTGCGATCTCCTCGGACCGAACGAGGTCAGGCGCGTGGGCGCGCCGTGCAGCTGTGATCACCTTTGATCAGAGCCGAGCAGGACAGGAAACAGGAAGACGCCCGCGGGCGGGGGGTGATGCCCCTCTGGCCCCTGGGGGCCGAGCTCGACGGCGCGGAGAGCACCGAGCAGGCTCCCTGGACACCCAGAGGCCCCGAGAAAGAAAAAAGCAGGCCGAAGAAAAGAGCCGACGGCGCGCCCTAGAGACCAGGGGCGGCGAGAGCGACTAGATGGGGCCTGGTGCTACAGCGAAGCTGCTGGAGGGACTCACGCCGTCACGTAGTGTGCTGGTCGCCCATCTCTTTCCGTGGGATCCGCCACCCATGTCAGCCCTTCTGGCCGTGGTGGATCTGGCGGTTCTTGTCTAGCAGTTTCTGGGCCATCGATTCCAGGTGGCCCAGAGGGGCCGTCCCCATCTTCTGGCGGCCGCCCAGAACGTCGAGGCATGTCTCCCGAGGGCCGTCTGGGTTGACGCTCCTCAGTGTGATCTGGTCCGCGCTAGCGAACTGCATCCTGGTGTACTGGTCGTTGTGGCGCGTGCGCAGCCTGAGGTGGAGCATGGCTCCGAGCCCGTCCCCATGCAAACGAGCTGCTGGTAGAAGGTGCGCGGGGGCACGTGCCCCTGAGGGGCCTCCTGCTCCACGGAGGCCGACGGGTACTTGAACTCGGCGTGAGCGATGTACACGTGTGGTGAATTGGGGCTTCGCCTCGGGGACCTGCGCCGCCGCTGCGTACATCTTGCCCGCTTCCCGAGCTGCGACGATCGAAGTGGCCGTGGGCGGGGTCACGATGCTGATCCATTCCGAGGCCGCGAGGTCCCTGAGCTGCTGGGCGTGCTGGCGCGCCGTCTTGGGGAGGAACGTGACCGCCTGCTGCAGGTCGCGCGACTTCAGGGCGCCCTCCAGACGAAGCATGATCGCGTCGTAGTCCCAGGTGTGCTGCGCGTGAGCCTCGAAGATGTCGCCCGCGTAGACAGAGCGGTGGTCTCGATCGTACAATGTGTTGAGGCGGCGTCCTGCTCCTATGGGGGCCTTGCACTTGCACGGGGCGTGGAGGAAGTCGGTCCTGCGCGACCGTCCGTGCGCCCCGATGAAGGTGTCCCCGCTGACAAACAAGGTGTCGTGGTCCGAGAGGAACCGTTGCCAAAGACGTCCAGAAAGGCCCTCCAGCTCCAAGACAGGGCCCACGGCGCTGTCGACCTCGCTCCACAAGTCGGGCTCGAGCAGGGACGGGGGGCCGAGAAACGTCTCGTCCACGGAGTCGCCGAGCTGAGGTCCGCCCCGCTGAAGGGCGTGCGTCGACTGCCCACAGACTCCAGCGCGGTGCGTGCCCACGAGATCATAGCCTGGGCCACCTGGCGGTATGAATTGCGGCTGGAGCAGGACTCGGGTGGCACGGAAAGGTGCCGAATCATGAGGAGCACGTCCGAGGAGCGGCACCGTCGCGCCGCACCGGCCCGAGAGCGCCGCGGGCGGAGGGTAGATCCGACGTAGGTGTGCCTGCGGAAACCGCTGATGTAGGAAGATGCTCCCCCCGCAACTCTTGTTGGTCCAGCCGAAGAAGAGCTCCCAGTGGTAGTCGTGCTGAAAGAGGCTGTGGCGGCCGTCCAGTGTCGGGCGGCGGCTCGTCCCAGGGAAGAGGATCACGCCCATGTAGTGCTCGCAGGTGATCTCCTGCGCGCGGGTGTTGCCCGTCAAGTAGAGAGGTTGTACACGTAGAGCCTGGTGTGCTGAGCAGGTTGAGGCTCTCGCTCCTGAGTGCGTCCAGGGGCGCGGCAAGCGCCTGTCGACATGTAGGCGGCCGCCCGCGGCGAGAAGCCGACGGCCGCGAGCAAGAGGAGAGCCTCCATCATGGGCCTCTTGGGCCCCGCGGGCGCGTGGGCATCGCGCGCTGCTCCCCTGGCGGGCGATGGAACAGGGTGGGAGGGCCGCGTGTCCCTCGACCTTCAGCCGTGGCGGCGGCTGGTGGAGGAGGAGGAGGAGGAGGAGGAGGAGGAGGAGGAGGAGGAGGGAGGAGGGGAGGAGGAGGAGGAGGAGGAGGAGGAGGAGGAGGAGGAGGAGGAGGAGGAGGAGGAGGAGGAGGAGTGTAAACCCAAGAGGCATCGAAGATGCTGCAATGCAGCCTCCATCTAGATTCCCTGCTCATGGGCCTCCCATTTTTTTTTCATTGCGGGGAACGGCCAATTGGCAGACACCCGTCCGACAACCCTCGATCGTGCCTACACAGAGTTCCTTGGACTTCAACGCCGCGGATCAATGTGACTGTTGGTTGCGTCCAGACTTGTGTCCTGACAACCCCCAAATGTGCCAGAACACCATTCCTGGGACATCGACCATACGAATCCTTGCATTTGCTGCACATTGTTAAGACGAGTGCGCACGGCGCTGAGGCGATAACAAAATTTTGATAAAGGAATAGCCTGTCATCCTTAATACGTCTGCAAACTTTCAAAACGAGCAAGCGCAACGCCAAAACGAGAACCACATTTTGAAAACGACCCGCCCTCCATCCGTGAAATTGCTGCACACCTTTCTTGTTGAGACGAATGTGCGCGGCGCTGAGGCGATACCAACATTCGTAAACCACCCGCGCTCCATCCGTGGATCTGCTGTAAACTTTTAGGACGAACGTGCGCGGCCCTAAAATGTGAAAACCTCCCGCCCTCCATCCGTGAAACTGTTTCACGCTTTCGCAACGAATGTGCGCGGCGCTATGGCGACAACAATATGTTGAAAGCTAGCCACCCTCCATCCGTGAGACTGTTGCAAGTTTTAAGGTTCAGGATCATACATGGTGAAGAAGTCGCAGGCAAAACGCCCGGCCCGCCGTGTACGACACGTCTGGGGGTGCGACAGGGATGAGCACGACACAAGGACAAGGAAAGGAGGATGATGAGGAGCAGGAGGAGCAGAAAGGAGGAGGAGGAGGAGGAGGATTGGAAGAACAAGCAATGACATATACATAACACCTTGGAGATCCGCGCGGACCTCCGAGCTGTATCTTGACGTCGCTGCTTGTTCCCCGAGGGGCGATCCTGGGATGCCTCAGCCGGCTCTGGGGCTCGCGCATGGAATTCCGGGGACCTCCTGGCTCCTGGGCGCGTCCAACGGTCCGTGCTGGCAGGGGGCTTGGGCCCTCAGGGGGCTCGGCCTTCCGAGCAAGCTGGGGTTGGGGGGGGGGCCGGAAGCGCGCAAACGCGGATTCCTGGATCCGGCGCGCCGTCGCCAAATCCATGGATCAGGGGAGGCGCCCTCCCCAAAAGTGCGGCCCGTGGCGCCTCGCTCGGCGGCGGCCATCAGCGATTTCCTGTGGAAACGGGGCCCGTCGCTGATCCACGCCCCCTTGACCCATGTTTGTGGTCGCCTGAATGTCTATCCCCCCTAGAGGAGGAGGAGGAGGAGGAGGAGGAGGAGGAGGAGGAGGAGGAGGAGGAGGAGGAGGAGGAGGAGGAGGAGGAGGAGGAGGAAGAGGAGGAGGAGGAGGAGGCCTCTCTGTTCGGGCCCTCGCGAAGGCCTCGGGCGCCCGTCCCTCGATCCTCCTCGGTAGGAGGATCGAGGTCGACCCTCGATTCTCCTCGATCCTCGATCTTCCTCGATCCTCCAGGTCGATCCTCGATCCTCGAACCTCGATCCCGATCCTCGAGCCTTCTTTCCCCCAACCTCTGGAGCCCCTCCGCAAGGGCGCCCTGGAGGCTGCGGTCGCGATCCCGGGGCCCGTCTTGGGGACACGGAGTGGGGTCGACTACGCAATGAATCTATCTCAAAATTGATTGTGCCGTCGAATCTACCAAAAACATACGTAGAGTGCTTGTCGACCCTACGACAATCATGCACTTTTTTCCCCTAGATCCGACGGAGCACTTTTGTTCGGGGCAGAACCCCCTCTCCCTTCAGTCCTCGGTGCCCCTTCCCACCCTTCGTGGCGCCCTGAAGCCGTCACACCACGAGCTGCGAGGAGGAGGAGGAGGAGGAGGAGGAGGAGGAGGAGGAGGAGGAGGAGGAGGAGGAGGAGGAGGAGGATAATAAGGATAAAGCCCCTTGGGGGTCTGTCAACTTCGCCTACCGACAGGCATGCCGACCCCTGGGAAGGAGGAGGAGGAGGAGGAGGAGGAGGAGGAGGAGGAGGAGGAGGAGGAGGAGGATGAGGAGGAGTCTCATGGATCTGGCCGAAAAATCTGGCCCCGTCGTGAAAGCAGAAGCTGGTGACAGAAGTTCACGGCCTGGGAAATGTTTCAGAGTCCTTGGCACCTCCAGCGGGGCGAGGGGGGGCCTTCTCAACATGTGATGGCAACGATGCCATGATGCGATTGGCTCAACATGCCTCAGTTACAGGAGCTCTGTAACGTCTGGAGGCCATCGTCTGTGGAGCCCGCGAGGAACAACAGGAAGCGTTGAATTCCTGCAACGTGTCATTACCATGACTTCTGTGACTTCTGGCTCCTCTGATCGTCGGGGACGCGCCAACCAACCCGGGTCAGCGCCACAGGGATCGCCCCAAACAACGTATGTTCGCTTTCGTGTTGTTTCCGTTTTCCCTCGTTTTGTCTCCAGTCCGCCCTTGCTGCAAGACGACACCGAGAGGACAGCGGCACAGGACCTCGCCAGAACACCGTTCAGGCCGACACCTGCCGGCGCCACCTCGGGTCGGCCAAGGCCACATCGCGACCCCCCCGCTGGCCTGGTGGCAGCAGCTCCCGTGCCCAGGTTATCGGAGGGATGGGAAAGCAGCTCGGCTCCGCATGTCCCCAAAGCTGGGTCAACCTGCACGGCTTCCCCCGGGGCCGTGGGCGATCCGAGGAGGAGGAGGAGGAGGAGGAGGAGGAGGAGGAGGAGGAGGAGGAGGAGGTGGAGGAGGAAATGGAGGAGGAGGAGGATTTTGACATCAACATCAAGGATGAGTGCCCGCCCAAACGATTAGAGCAGGCTGGCTGGCCAGGGCCAGCAAAAGAGAACTAACACCTGAAGACAAAGGAAAGGCAGGAGGTCACATAGACATCTCCAGCTGGCTGGAGGATTCCCCGTGGCCAGGTGCTTCTCCCCCAGGCGTTAGTCAGAACTAGAGTCGCCCTCGTCACGATGCGGTAGCTTCGAAACGAGAGGGGCCTCGTCTTCTTCCTGCTGAAGAGGGGACGAGACACCTTGCAACACAACCCGAGGATCCTCCTCGAAAAGAAAACGGGAAGCTTCCTCCTCGGCCATCCATGCGTCGACTCCTCCCGCTGGCGCAAAGTCAGCCTGGCACCCAGCAGAAGAGGCAGCGTTGCTCCCCCCGCCCACTCCTGACTCCACCCCATCCCCGCCACCCAGAGAGCTAGAAGGAATATCGAGAGAATGAAAAGCAACAACATGGCTGGCTGCACGGCCCCCACCCAGCTGCGCCCAAGGTCCGCGCTCAACCGTGACTCCTGGGCGCTTCGGATGGAGGCCTCTGCAAACCGGGTGCCAATTATTATAGCGCTTAGACCGAATTGGAGCAGCACGCTTCTCCGCTAGGCCGCAGATCCTGCCATGCGAAGAATAAGAAAAAGCACTTAGTACAACTGACATGTGATGCTTTGTCTGAGCACAGGAGTGTCAAAGCCCTGTGCCCCCGCGACTCCAAAGTCCTCGGCTCAAGCCCACGGACATGACCACAACGAGACGGAGGGGGCGGGGGACCGTGGGTCGACAGACGACTGACTATGGCACAGACCGAGCACTTCCAAAAACCAGAAGCTGAGCCAAGCTCAACCTGTTGAATCGGCTCCCAGAGACAAGTGGCTTTCTGCACCGAAGGGGGGGGTCCTTGGACGGCTTCGTCCACGTAACACCCTGGAGGTCAAATTTGGGCCATTTGGGCATCAGCTTAGCTGCTTCAAGAGCCGCAGCCCTGGCAATCTTTACATCCAAGTCAACCCTAGAAGAGGCCTCCTCGGGCGGCTGTGGGTGCCCCAAGAGCCCTTCCCCAGCTGAAGCACTCTTGGCTCCAACATCGGCGTGATGGTTCCCATAGCGGCGCATTTTATCCCGATCGTCGGTCCACTCATCGAGCGACAAGTGAGCCTTGACTTTCTGCAAAACGCGGACCTTCCAAATGTCGTGAGAGAGAGAGAGAGAGAGAGAGAGAGAGAGAGAGAGAGAGAGAGAGAGAGAGAGAGAGAGAGAGAGAGCGAGAGAGAAACCACCGGAACTACGCTTTGGCGACAGCTGATCAACCCTGGGACGGTCGAAGTGGTCTTTGACCAGCTGCGCATCCGTGAAACAAATCTGACGGCTCGCCTGCAAACGTGACAGCCTGGCAGAAAGCAGCAAACTCTCCAGCAGGGGCAGTCTGAGGATAGCAAGGGGGGGGGAGGGCCGTAGAGCTTGCGGAGCCTCCTACAGCACGCCAAGAAGGGGACTCCTGAAAAAAAAGGACACCTTCCCAAGCTTCTCTCAGCTCCCTGAACGAAATAGAGCAAGGCCCTAACCTGAGAACACCACAGCTCCTTGTGCCACCTCAAGGTTGGCGAAACCGCGCCAACCCACGCGGGGCCCCCTTCCAGGTGGGACAAAACGGTCAGGGAGCGTTGGCCAGCCGAAGGTTTCATGGTAGATGCCGCTGCCCTGCGAATGAGCAGCAACTCGTGATCCGTGACTCCTCTCACCTCGCTGCCGTAGAGCAGGCCAGGGAGAGGTCCAGCAGTGCAAACGCGAAGAGTTCTCCGAGGCCCCGCGGCCTGCCTGAGTCCAGCCACTCTGGCCGTGCGTTTCCTGAAAAGGTGCCTCCTGACTTTCTGCTTTTTGTTTCGGCCCCGGACCCTAGAACTCTTCCCGACGGAGTCGTCAAATCCCAAGGTTAACAGCGCTGGAGGTGATTAGGCCCGTGAGCTCAACTCCAAGATTAACCTGGGTGGCCCTGCCTAACTTGGCCGACGAACAAATGAGGCTGGATTTGTCTGCCGCCACCTGAGCTCCGATGCCGTCTACGATGGCGGCGTGGAGCTGGGGCGCGCCCTCTGTGATGGCACCCGCCACAAAACTAGACGTGCCTACCGCGCTGAGCCCAGAGTCGTCTATGTAGAGCGCCAGCTCAGCACCCTGCCTAAACCTAACACAATCGAGCTATTCCACAGAATTGATCCTAATGAGAGTCGTCGCCAGGGAACACCCCGCAATGATGCCAGAAAGCGCGAACCAAGGGCCGTCCAGGCAACCGCCCAGAGAAAGAGACCTCGGGGCCCGATAGGCCCTAACGGCCAGCTTGGCCATAGCCGGGGGGAAGTCTAACATTAAACACCTGTCCAGGAGTCGCTCGAGGTGAATAAGCTCGTAGTATTTGAACATGTCCTGAAGAAGCGTAGCCGCATGCAATTGCTGAGTGGCGCCGCTTTCGCTGCGGAGGCTCTGGCGCCGCGCAGCATCGGCCGCCCCCTGGTACTTGCCCGCGGCAAAGTGGGGACGAGCGTGCGCCCCCTCCCAGCTCTCGGCGAGGCACCGCCGCGCTTTGCCACACAGGCGATAGGGCCCCATGAAAATCCCAATGGGGCGAAAACCCCCGCTCGGCTTCCCCGGGAGGGCCAGAGCGGTGGCGTCCAGCTGGGCTGGGAGCATGCTAGAAATCCCCATCGCCTGCAGGATCCTGCACAAGGCCAGGGCCCCAGGACAAGAAATCATGCTAAAGTGTTTCATGTGAAAGCCGTCCACCCCAACCGCCGAGGTCGTCTTGTAAGTCCTGGAGATGCGAAAGAGCTGCTCGGGGTCCAAAGGGGGGGGCCCAGGGGCAGGCTCGAAATCGGCGGCAGGGCCCCCGAGCAGTGGGGAATCCGAAGCGCGCCACAGCTTAGTAAACTTGCGGCTCTCCTCAGCCAGCAAGGCCCTCGGGTTGCTGACAACGCAGCCGTTGGCCGAGAGGGTGGGCGAAGGTTTCCACGGCTTGGGTTCGGAGGTAACCATGTGAGCACGTTTGGCCCCCTGGTCGATGTTATCCCTCAGCCAGCTGCGCCGGGGCGCCAAGCTCTTGTCTCTGGCGCTGCTCTCAGCCTTAGAGACAACCTCCGAGGCTAAGAGAGACAATTCAAAAACCGTCTTCTGATGATCACTGTAATGGCCCGTGTCCAACTGGCGGACCGTGGACTGCAAAGTGTCCGGCAGACCCCGCTGACCCCCCAAATGCCCCTCGACAAAGGGGAGGGGGGGGGGGGGTCAGAACGCGGGGCCTCGGAGCCCAGAGGTTGAGGGGCGGGGGAGAGGAATGCGACAAATTTAACCTAGAATTGGACGTGTGGTCGTCGTCGTCGCCGTCGCCGTCTTCCCCAGGCTGGGTTTGGTTGTTGGCTCTCTCTTGAGTCGGACTAGACGCCTTGCAGTCCAAGATGCGATTATATAGCCACCTGACAGAGTGCAGAAATGGGTGCCTGAGCGGTTCCCTGTCGCGAGAGAACGCTGGCTTCCAGACGAGCTGAGGGCCCTTGCCCCTAGCGCCCCAGTAAGGCAGAGAGACTTGGGTGGCGTTGGCGACCTCAACTTCAGCAAGGTTGGCCCACCACTTGTAAGTGCGATTCAGCAGCCTCTGAGTTCCCTGCCCTCGACCCCCCCTCGCAGCCTCAAGGGCCGCGTCCAAAACTCCAAGAACAGGGTCCCAAGAAAGAGGGTTCCCGAGTAGGACCGATGGCCCTTTGAGGGGGGAGGGGGGGGGGGGGGCTTCCGAAACACAAGCACTTCGAGCTGAGCAGGGGAGGGGGATAACTCAAGATCCACAGGAGAGTGGGGAGTTAGGGGGGAATTACGATTGACTGTCACCTGCCTGACGACCTTGGAAATGCCAGCAGAGACAACGAAGAAGTCCGAGACCTTGAGGCCCCCCCGTGCTGCGGAGCGTGTAATCTCCGTCGGTCGGGGTGATCATCTGGCCTTTAAACTCGGACACGAACCGATAACTGTTGAAATTCACCAGGCGTCATATTGAAGTCGCTTCCCAAGATGACTGGGAGGTCAGAGTGAGAAAGTCATGCACGGATATGCGACAATAGCTCCACGTTGCGCTCAGACAGACCCTCGGCATCATGGAGATATGCTGATCCGACGAGGACCTGAAAACCTCCTGGAATGTCGACCACACAAGCTCCAGCACTATGGGGGGGGGGGGGGGGGGGGGGGGGGGCAGAACGAAGCCCGACGACAGCGTGTGAAGCCCAGGGTAAGATCTTGCCAAAACTGCGACTCCCCCAGACGATCCCGTACCCTCCCCTCGCGCTGCCGCCGCCCAACGCGACTTCCAGCCGCGACGAAAGAGCCACTCTGATGCCTTGGAGATGTCTTCTTCGGAACACAGGTGATGCTGATGAACTAGCAACACATGCGCTGAAGTCATGGGTAGCCAATTGAGCTTAAGTGACAGCCAACCTGTAACATTGCACGTCTGGACGCAGGGCGAGAAGTTCTCTAAAGCAGGAGGAGCTGACGGCCTTAGAGAACCTTCCACAGGGGCTCCAAGGGCCACATCCTTGCTAAGGAGAGGGGAATAACCAGACGCATCACATTGAATGTGTGACAAGCTGCTGCTACCCAGGAGAATATGAAGCAGCACCAGCAGACGCAGCAGTCCTGGCCGTCTTCGCTGCTGCCACGATGAACGAAGAGACACGCTCCCTCGACTCAGCCGAGACAGCCTCAGACTGCGCCTCCTTCCAAGCACGCAACACATTGTCGAACGCACCAGAACCAGCAGGAACAACCTGGGGCATAGCTTCATCTCCAGGCGTGCCAGTCCCCGCCCCAGCCCCTGAGCCCGTCCCCCCCACCCACATCATCAGCAGCAGCACCGCCAGCTCCGCTGGCAGGCTGCGGCCCTTGGGCAAAAGACTCGCAGCTCGGCTTGAGCTTGGCCCAGCCCTCGCGGATCGCCGCCAGGTCGCCCGACGCCAACACGGAGTCGAAATCGGACATGTGACCCTGGAGCTCCGCCGCCTGCGGGGGCGGCGGCAGGTCAGCAACCTTCGCCGCCAGCTCGAGGTAGCGAGCCTTGAGCTGAGCCTGCTGGGCGGCCGCCTCGGCCCGCTTCTCGTTGGGCTCCTTGAGACGCACCTGGGCGTCACTGATCTGCTTGTCGAGGGAGACCACTGTGCGTTCGTTCTTCTCCAAAGCCTGCTGAGCCTCATTGGCCTGCTGACGAATAGGACGAGCTTCCGACTGCCGAGAACGAATAGCCGAGGCAGAGGCCAACACGGAGCTGTCCACCGCCGCGCGCTCTGGGAAGTCCTCCTTGAGCTGGCCCATGAGCATCTTGATCTGCGATAGCAGCGAAACGGGGTCCGAGGGGAGGGCCAGCATGCCGCCTCGACCACCGCCAAGACCGCCTGCCCCTTATCCCCCGCCGCCGATGCCGCCGCCACCGCCAGGACCACCTTTGCTTCCCCCCTTTCCGCCGAAAGAACCTGTGTTCCCGCCCTTGAGACCTTTGTGGGGAGAACCGTCCTTCCACACACCAGCAGGAGAAGGCTGAGCACCAACAGACACATGCGGAATATGCGCCCAACAATTAGCACACCACTTGTACCACGGTTTGTTGCACTTCGCAGCGCCGCACGCGAGACATTTCGCACCGATGACCTCATGCTTCGGTCCCATGGGAGACACACACGAGTGCAGAACGACAAAACGAGCCAGATTGACCCGCTCGCGCAATGTGCCGTTCTGAAATATGCGCTAGCAAGCCCCAAGAACTTGGGCCAGAACGGCTAGGAGGAGGAGGAGGAGGAGGAGGAGGAGGAGGAGGAGGAGGAGGAGGAGGAGGGAGGAGGAGAGGAGGAGGAGGAGGAGAGGAGGAGGAGGAGGAGGGCAGGAACAGCAGGAGGAGGAGGAGGAGGAGGAGGGGAGGAGGAGGAGGAGGAGGAGGAGGAGGGGAGGGAGGAGGAGGGAGGAGGGGAGGAGGAGGAGGGAGGAGGAGGAGGAGGAGGGGAGGAGGAGGAGGAGGAGAGGAGGAGGAGGAGGAGGAGGAGGAGGAGGAGGAGGAGGAGGAGGAGAGAGGAGGAGGAGGATCAGCAGGAGGAGGAGGAGGAGGAGGAGGAGGAGGAGGAGGAGGAGGAGGAGGAGGAGGAGGAGGAGGAGGAGGGGGAGGAGGGATGAGGAGGAGGAGGAGGGGGAGGAGGACGGGTGGCCGAAATCCTTCGGAGAAAACCTCCAGGTCAGGACTGGCCCCCGCTGACGCTGACCCACTGTTGGCTTTCGGAACCCATCTCGGTCGCCATCTCGGCCGTTCCACACGAATCTGGCATCTTCCTGGGAACGACCTCGACGAGGCGCAGCCGATGAGACCCCCCCGTGGCACCGATCACCTCCAACAGCTTCAAAATAACATCCCCGAAAAGTCTGGGTTACCTGCGTCCCGAGATTTAGGCTGGGCCTGTGTCCTTACATGCGGATTTTGGGGCGAAAAAACACGTACAAAAAACACCCGACTATCTTTTCACCATCTTTGAATATTCCCCCTGCAGAGGGACAAGCCCGACTTAACCCGAGATGGCTGGGTCCCGTCACGTGCGCCTCGACATGGAACGAAACGCGCCCTCGACGCTTCCTGGGCTTTGCTCGCCGCCGGGGGGCCAGCCACGAAGTCGCCGCGCAGGGCCGGGCTGCACGGGCTCAGGTCGCCGCCCTCGTCCGCCAGGTTCTCCTCGCACGCGTCCTCGGCAGCGCAGCGGAGGGGCGGAGGGGTTTGGAAGGGTCGGGCACGCAAGCACACCCGCGGGCAAGCCGCACACGGAGCCCACCGCTCCTGAGGGTGTCCGTGGTTTCAGACGCTCCCTCTTCCAACCTCCCTTGCGCCTGTGGGCTTGCCCCTCCCCCTCCCCTCTCCCCCTGGGTCTGCTGCAGGGGGGAGGGCGCGAGCGGTCAGCGCGTTCAAGATGGCCCAGGATGGCCCCATAATCCTCAAGACAACACCGAAAAGTGGAGTCGCTGATTTCTAAATTCTCGTCTTTTCGCTGCCGATGGTATTCCGAAGCCGCAAGACGGCTCCAAGACGGCCCCAAGATGGCTCACAGGGGGTTCCGAGAAACGATGTTAGGGATCGAACGGTACGGGGCTGTTTAGGAGCCCTCTTACCCCAAGGTGGTTCCAATCTGATTCCAACAGGGCTTGCTTTCCTCCAAGATGGCCCCACGAAGGCCCCAACAAGGCACCACGGCCTCCCCAAATGACCCCAACTGGGCTCAAAACTGGCCCAGGAAAGCCGCAAACTCCCGTATCGAAATATCCGCGAAGGCAATGATAGTTGACTGCTGCCCCTTTGCTTCGTTCCACTGCGTGCTTCCACACATCCCCGTTCCATGCAATCCGCCCTGGCGTCGTTGCTGGATGGGCTGGTGGGGACACGCGAAGCGCTCACGACTCGGGGGGATGGAGGGGAGGGGGGGAGGAGACAAGCTAGGCGCGCTCGCGTCATATCTGACATCCTACCCCTCCCTCCCATCCCTTACCATGGCGTAGATCCCCTCTCTACTCGCACAGACGGATGTCGAGCAGGGCAATGATCCCGACAGGGTACGCGATGCATTGTAGAGCACGGCGTGGCATGGCGTAGAAGAGCACCGCAAAGCGTAGTATCAACCTAGCATTGCATTGCATGCCGTGGCATGGCACGGGAAATGACGCCAGCGCTGCAGCGGTAGCACGAGTCGGAACGAGCGGAAGCGCGGAAATGAGGCCAACGCTGCAACGGGAGCACGATTCGGAAAGAGCGGAAGCACGGAAATGAGGCCAGCGCTGCAACGGGAGCACGATTCGGAACGAGCGGGGCCCGAAAATGAGGCCGGCGCCTCAGCGAGAGCAGCATTTCGGAAGAACAACTGCAGGCGAAAACCCAACTCTGGGGAATCCTGTGTAAAAAACACTACGCGGGGGGGGGCTAATACTTTCAAACCGTCATCAGGGGAAGAGGGAGAGTAGTATTCATATTGAATAATTGTAGAGCGGGGAGGAAGACTGGGCCCCACTCGCAGCCACAATTCCTGCCTTGCGCGCGGCCGCCGCTCGCGGCTGCCCCGCTTCCGCCCGGCCCGGCGTCCCGCGGACCGCCTGCTTGCGCTCCGGGGCTTGGCGCCCGAGCCGCAGGGCCCCGGCCTCGTCCGCGACAGCTTCCCGCCCAAATGCCGGCTTCTCAGGAGCTCGTGGTCGGCCGGCCCCCGGAGAGCCCCAGAGCGGCTCTGGAGGTGGGCCGCGGCAAAAGGGAGTCATCCAAAGGCCCCGCAGCCCGTCTGCCGCAGACGGGCTGCGGGGGGCCAGCGTGCAGCCAGCAGCGGTGCGGGCGGCCCGCGCAGCTGACCACCCCCCCTTGATGATCTTTGGGAAGTGGGCTCGTCGCTGCCATGGGGGCTCTTCGCCAGGCCCGCCTCCACGCGGTCGGCAAATCGACGGGCCAAGCGGGTCATCTCGTCGTACGCAACGACCAGCAGGATGGCTTGCCGACCCCCGCTGCCCGCGCCTCGGCCCTCTCGGGCGCCACTCTGGTCAGTATTCCGAGGCCCGCTGAAATGGCAACAGCAAGTGCAATCCCTGCTGACGCCGACGCAGACGGCGACGGCGGTGACGGCGACGTCTCCTCGCGGAGCGCCGGGGAGACGTCGAAGCCGAGGCCGACGAGCCCGCTCTCGCCCAGCGCCGTTAGCGCCGGGCACCTCCCCAACTCCACGCTGACGTCCTGCTGCGGCGTGCGCGTCGTCGCCGACGTCCGCGTCAGCGTCGTCGCCGCCGCCGCCGTCATCTTCGTCGCAGTCGTCGCCGTCACCATCATCGCTGCCGCGCCGCCGCCGTCGCCATCGCCGTTGCCGTCGCCGTCGCGGCCGCTGCCGCCCCCGCCGCCGTCGCCGCCGTCGTCGTCGGTCGTCGGTCGTCGGTCGTCGGTCGTCGGTCGTCGGTCGTCGTCGTCGTCGTCGGTCGGTCGTAGGTCGTAGGTCGTCGTCGTCGTCGTCGTCGTCGTCGTCGTCGGTCGTCGGTCGTAGGTCGTCGGTCGTCGGTCGTCGTCGTCGTCGTCGTCGTCGTCGTCGTCGTCGTCGTCGTCGTCGTCGTCGTCGTCATCGTTCTCCCCCCTCCCTCCTCCTCCTCCTCCTCCTCCTCCTCCTCCTCCTCCTCCTCCTCCTCCTCTTCCTCTTCCTTTTTCTTTTCCTCTTGCTCTTCCTCTTCCTCCTCCTCCTCCTCCTCCTCCTCCTCTCTTTTACTCTTTTCTTCCTCTTCCTCCTCTTCTTCCTCTTCTTCCTCTTCTTCCTCCTCCTCCTCCCAAGAGGCGAAGGGGGGGGGCGGAGAAGCAAGAGCCGTCTCAAGGCCGCTGCGCGCGTCGCAGCCAGGGAGAGGGCGGCGCCGCGTGCCAGTGGAGCACGGGCGCAGGTTCCCTGCGGGGGGGGGGGGGGCAAAAGCGGGAGGTGGGCCGCAACGGCGGTGACCCCGAAGTGGGGCAGCACGAGTTGCCGATGAGGGCGTAGCCAGTGGCCGCGCCCAAGGCGCGGCCCTGGGCGCCGGCGCGCAACGGCGACCGGCGGGAGACAAGGCGGGCGCGGCACGGAGGGGCGGCGCCAGCGCGATGGGAGGGGCCCGCAGCGTGAGACCAGGCAGGCGGGCAGGGACCCCCAGGCGCGAGGGTCACGGCCCCTGAATGGGCCGCCGCGCAGGAGAGAGGAAGGGGGGCGTCGCATTGGCCCGCCGGCGGCGGGCGGGCATTGGCCCGCCGGCGGCGGGCGGGCAGGTTTGGAATCCCGAAACGGTGCGGTGACAGAACGGCGGTGACCTCGGAACCCCAAGAGACCTCACCGCACGGTCCGTCACAGCACGGTTTTGGGACCCCGGAGGCCCCTGTCGCCCGAGACGTCCTCGGGGAACGACCCGAGTCCCAAAACCGTGCGGTGAGCCCGAATCCCCACCGACTCACCGCACGGTGTGGTCACCACCCCGTTTGGGGGCCCCCGAGCAGGGTACGCTGCCAGAGCGGGGCGCGCCAGTGCCAGACGCGGGCGCGCGGAGGGGGGTGGATGGCGCGCCCGCGGGGGGGGCTCCTGTGGCGCGCCTGGCTGGCGCGCGGCAGCTGGAGAGAACGCCAGCCTGGGTGCTCTGGGGCACCACCTGTGGTGGATGGCGCGCCTGGGGCCCGGCGGCGGGCGCCCCTTGGAGGAGGGGGCGCGCCGTGGGAAGGCGCCTAAATGGTGCGCAGGCCGGTGTTGCAAGGCATGGCGCCTCCATAGGAGGGGAGGCTGCCGGCGCCGCCTCTCCTCCTCCTCCTCCTCCTCCTCCTCCTCCTCCTCCTCCTCCTCCTCCGCCTCCTCCATCTCCTCCTCCTCCTCCATCTCCTCCTCCTCCTCCTCCTCCTCCTCCTCCTCCTCCTCCGTCCTCCTCCTCCTCCTGTCTCTCCTCCTCCTCCTCCTCCTCCTCCTCCTCCTCCTCCTCCTGTCTCTCCTCCTCGACGATGGCTGCTCGCAGCCCGAGAGGAGGATGGCCCTCCCGCTCAGCCGCAGCGCCCGCTGCCGCGCGGGTCCTCACAGACCCGGTGCGCTGCGCCCTCCGCCTCGCCGAGGAGCCTGCGAGAGGCGGCCCCGTCCCTGGACGGGCAAAGCACGGGGACCATCACCAAGACCGATTGCAGAAGCGTCGTCTCGATCTTGGTCAGCGTCCTCCTCCTCCTCCTCTTCCTCCTCATCCCTCCCCCTCCCCCCTCCTCCTCCTCCTCCTCCTCCTCCTCCTCCTCCTCTTGGTCAGCGTCGATTCGTGGAACATCCTCGCGGATCGGCGGCGGACCAGGACCGAGATCGGCATCGACAAGGCTCCGCGACACTGTGGCCATGGCCCACGCGATCCTTCCCTCGAATGCCGTGCCGATCCCCCAGACCTCCACCGTCCAATCTTCCTTCCAGCATCGTCATTCGGGCGCACGCTAGCATGGATGATGTATCCATGGATCTGGCGCGCAGGCGCGAGATCCACGGTTCAGCCTCTGCGGCCGACTTCGGTCCCTGGGGCCGTCAAGAGCGACTCGGGAGCAGAAGCTGGCCCTCGGGAGGGGAGCGGCACTTCTGGGGAGAACCGCCGCTGAACAAATCGAGGGGGAGCGTTTCAAGTTCGTTGCTTTCGAACATTTCGAACAGGGGGTCTCCCAAACTGCAGTACCCCCCGAGCAAACATCCAAAGGCTGTCATCCGACCCCCCTCGGAAGGGAACTGGGGATGATGAACCCCCACCTGTCTGGTTCAGGAGGGCAGTTGGGGTTTTGGAACACCCCCCCTCCCCCGGGCGTGTCAACAACCGACAACGACGGCTGGTGACGACGAGGCCGCCGCATCCGACGACCGCGACAAACACGACGACAACGAACGACTTCGCCAGCGGCAACAACGGCGACAATATCGACGACGAAGGCCATGGGCGAGATCAGCGGGGCGGGTGAGCTCCCTCGCTGATGGGGCACAGTTGGGGGAAACATGATAAAACAACCACAGACGACGGCGACGGCGACGGCGACGGGTGACGGGACCCATGTCGGGCGGGCGGGCGGGACATTGAGGGTAAACCTTACTCGATGATGGGACAAGGTTACAGGAAAGGATGAGACAAGCAACAAACGACGGCGACGATACCGACGGCGACGGGCGGGGCGCTCAGACGGTCGGGCAGGCTGGACGCGAAACGTCATGTGCAAAACGCTCGTTCGAAGCAGTCGCGCCGTCGGATGCCAGGGCCTCTCCCGCGCCACCTCCTCCGTGCCATCGTCCGGGCGTCCGCTCCCTGTGCGCTGTTTGGCTTCGCGCGTGTATTTTTTCGAGATGGCCCGAGATCCGTCGAGCTGCTCCAGATCTTTTTCTGGCGCTGTCCTCGCCGAGAGGAGGGCACACGTCAGAGCGAGGCCAGGCCTCTCCAGCCCCTCGAGGAACGAGGACCGAGTGATCGAGGAAGGCTCCAACGTGAACAGCTGTTTGGGCACACCCTGCCCTCTCGTGCTTCTCTCGGGGGGGGGGGGGGGGGCTCGGGCCTGCTGGGCAGCCATCGTACCTCCCTGCTCCTCTCTCCTGCTCCCCCCCTCCCTCCTTCGGACCTGCCTCATGTAAAAGCAAGCCAATTCAGCATCCCGCGTTCCCTCCTCTCTCCCTACCCTCCTCCTCCTCCTCCTCCTCCTCCTCCTCCTCCATTCCTTCGCCTTATGGGTAACTCCTCCCTGTCGCACCCCGGGGCCGGGCGTTTCGCCTCACACTTCCTCGCACCTTATGACTCTGGTGCAACAACACATGACAACAGTTTCACACATTGAGGGCGGATCGTTTTCACAATGCGGTCTCGCCCTAGCGCCGCGCATACTCGCTCTAAGAATTTGCGAGTGTTTCACGGATTGAGGGCGGGCCGTTTTCAAAGTGTGGCTCTCGCCTTCGTGCCGCGCGCACTCACTGCAAACATGTGGAAAAGAGCTTCACATATTGAGAGCTGGTGGTTTTCAAAATGTGGCTGTCGCCTGAGCGCCGCGCACATTCGTTAAAACAAATGCGAAAACTTCACACATTGAGGGCTGGTGGCATGGCTCTCGCCTTAGCGCCCAGCGCGTTCGTTTCAAACAATTGCTAGCATTCCACGGGTTGAGGGTAGTTCGTCTTCAAAATGTGACTCTCGCCTTCGCGCCGCGCGAATTCTTTTAACAATTTGCAAAGCGAGTTTCACGGATTGACGGCGGGTCGTTGTCAAAACGTGGCTCTCGCTAGGGCGCCGCGCACACTCTCGTTTTAAACATTTGCAATCGTTTCACGGATTGAGGGCGGGGTGTTGTCAACATGTGGCTCTCGCCCCAGCGCTGCGCACTTTCGCAAGGGTGGCCATCCCCTGACCATCCCCTGACCAACCCGGGCCATTCCTGGGAGATGTGCTCGTGGGGCTCCTCCAGTGGACAACTCTCGGGGTCTGGCCCTGGCGGGGGAGGCCATCGGAGCGGGGCTCGTGCTTTGTCGAAGAGTGCCGACGTGGCGCTCACTGTCTGCTGCAAGTAGACGCTGCTGCAGTGCTGGCTGGGCTTGTGTTAGCGATGCCGGAAAACATGTAAAGAAAGGCGTCAACTCTCTGCGCGAGGCAAGATGTGGCGGCGCTGTCTGCGGGGGGTGCCGTGATTTACAGTGCTGCTGGTCGTCGTATTCTGATCGGCTGCTCGAAGTGTCCCTCTGCGCTGTCTTTCTCTCGTCGGAAGCCAACAGAGTGGAGTTGAGCTCGAAGCGCTCGTCGGCTGGGCCAGGGACAAGCCGTCGTCGCAGAACCTGCTCCTTATCATCAGATGCTGCGAGTGGCGTTTGTCATTGCGCCCCTGTCGCCTCTTGGGCCGGGTGCCGTCGGTGCCTTGGCGCTCCGTCGGATTTCGCGCGTTGCGTCGGCCGTGGTGCCGGCTGAACTCGTTGGAGCGACGCCGAATCTCATGTGCATATGTAGGCGCCGACTTTTCTGCGCGAAACAAATTGTGGCGGCTCTGCCTGCTGAGGGTCCCGTGGTCGATGTAGCTGGTCGGCATGCCTTCGCTGGGCGTCTCGCCCGCTGCCGGCCCTATCGGATGGTGCGGGGTCAACGGGGGGAAATGGTGGAGAGGGTGAGACTGCGATGCCGCTGGAGCACGTCCCCCAGGAGCCACCGCGCAGCGCGAGCCTGATGGTCCGCTGTCGATTGTGCTCGACTGCGTAAGTGGTGCATTCATTGTGTGGCGTGGTCTTGGCGAGCTCGTGGCTGCCCGTCTGGGGCGGGCAGGGCGCGCGTCGCGTATCGCGGGCCTCGCCAGTGCTGTTCTTGTAAAGCTTGTCGGGCTTGGCGGTTGTCGCGTGGAACTGGCGGCTAGGCCTCCTTGCCAGGCAAGGGGCTCTTCCAGTGTCCGCGTAGTCGCCCTCGCCGATCCCATGCTTGTCGGTGACTAGAGACATGCCTCTGCTGCGGCAGCTGTTGGAATCCGCCGACCCCTTGTGGGTCTCTAGGCGTGTGAGATTATCCCCCCCCATAATCCTCCCCCCCGGGACCCCAAACCGGCAATTTGACCCCCCCCCTTGGCCGAGCCCGACCCCGGACTGAACGCGCCACAGGGGAGCGGAGGGCTCCAAAACTGGCCAAAAAGGCACCACAACGCACCCCAGACGGTCCCAGGGGGCAGCGATTCGCCGAAATATCGCCCCTGGACGCCCACGATGGCCTCCAGGCGGCTTCCGAAGCTGCCAAGACGCCTCAAAAGGCCCCCAAGATGCGCCCCAAGAAACAAACGTCGTCCCATTCCCTTTCGAAAAACAAGCATTTTTGGCATGCTCGCCTATTCGGTTTTCACAACGTCCCAGGCGGGCAAAGACACCTTCAATATCGCCCCCAGACGGCCAAACGGGGCCCCCAAAAAAGGTAGGAGAAGGTCCGACAACAGCCCACGAAGCCCCCAAGACAGCCCAAGAGGCCCCCAGACGGCTCCAAGACGGAGTCCAGGGGCACCTTTTCGAGCCTTCGGCCCCAAGACGACCCCAGCCTGCCCAAGAACACCCCAAGAGGCCCTGAGGGACCCCCAAGAGAACCTCAAAGGCCTCCAAGAAACCCCCCAGAAGCCCCCAAGAGGCCCCCAAACTTGGCCCAAGATGCCTCGAGGCGGCCAGATATGGCCTGCAGACAAGCCAAGATGCTACCAAGAGGCCACAAAACAGCACCAAGAGGTACGATAACAACAACGAGGCAACAGGAACGATGTCGAGCGCCGTGTCATGTTTCGGACAAGCCTCGTGAAATGCAGTCCTGGATGCGCAATAGTTAACATAGGGGCCGGCGGATGTGGCGCAAGCCTATAGAGTCTCCTCCCTCTCCGCTTCTGCTGCCGAAGCCATCTCCTCCTGTTTCTCCCGCTCTGGCTTTTGAGCCGCTGTTTCCCCGTCCTGAGCCTCGCCGTTCGTGACCTTGCTGATGATGGGGGCCTCGTGGCGGCAACTAGCCACGTTGGTCGTGGAGCCGCAGCGGGTGCCATCGATTGCGCCCTTGATGTTGGGCTCGGTCTGCCGTGGGTCGGTCGCGATGGCCATGTCGGTGGCGCAATTGCGGGTGAAGGCTTCACCTGCCTCGCTGGGCTGGGGCCTTCTCTGCCACTTAGCCTTCCTCCGGATGGCCGTGCCTCTTCTGGGCTGAGTGGTGCTGGTTGGTCATCCGCCCTGTGTGCCCTTAGCAGTGAGGTCGAGTTCGCCGTGGAGGTGGCGGCCCCAAGACTGGCTGAAGTGGGTGGCTCGAGGGCGGCCGACCTCCTGTGCGGGGGTGGCGCCCTTGTCGGCCTTGGTGAAGCAGGCGGCGGCGGGGTGCTAGTGCCTCCTGCCATGAGCGTGTGGACATTCTCCTGGAATCGTTTGCGGTGCTGCTCTGCGCTTTGGCGGAGTGGCTCTCGAAATGGTTGGTGGCGCTGGCGGGGTGCCGTGGATCTGCTGCTGTGACCACCTCCGCGATTTGGCTCATCTTGGCCTACGTAGGCTACATGTGTGCGGGCAGCATTTGCGCCGCCACCGCTTCCAGAGGAGGGCCCGATGGTGCTGGCGGCTGCTGCGCACGTGGCGAGGTC